GCATCGTGGAGCAAGGTAAAGGCAGCTGTTAACATCTTCTCTCTGACCTCTCAGCTCTTAAAACATCCCTTCGTCTCCCTGAACTCATGGCGAACATGATTAAAACAGAAAGTCCCCGTATCCCTCAGCTTGTCCTAATCTCTCTTCCCAAATCCTTTTCTCTCCCTCTAATGCTTCTCAAACGTTTGCCAAGGTAAGCAGCCCCAGCTCTTGTCTGAGAAGAGAGGGTATTGCTGTTCAGAAGTCTTTGCTTGCCGTCTGGCCTGCGGGGAATTAGAAGACAAATTGCATGCAGTCTGGCTTGTGTGCAGCAGTGTAGATGTCAGATGTTCCAGGAGAGAGAGAAGCTTTTAAAAGTTTGGTGCAGAAACAGAACAACTGTGCAGCGTAGTTGTACAGGTGGGGAGTCCTCTCAGAGCTCCGGTGTTACCCCCAATGTAACAATGTTTCCACCAATTTTATCATGATGAGAAGGATTTAAGCACCAGAACACACCCTGTGGGTCTGGGTCGGTCCTCTCATGTCCTTACAGTGTCACTACGCTTCCTGCCCGTCAGTGAAACTGGTTCCAGCTAATCCAGCCTGCTCTGAGATGAACCCACCCATTATCACATACCTGCATCTCGCCCCACTTCCCTCATGCTTTCACTCATAATCCTCCGTCTGTCTGTGCCTGTGTGAGAGTACGTGGATTATACAGAGAATTAGTTGGACTTTTCCCCTGATGCCCTCTGCGTATCTAATGCCCTGGGCAGTGGAGGGTGAGGAGGTGCCAGCTGGATGGAGAGTTCTTAATGTGTGTTTATTCGTTGGGCTTTAATGTTTTTTTTTTACAGGACAAACAGTGGGAGGTTTTTACTTGAGGGAGGGATGGATCCTGCTCGCTGTTTTTTTTATTTCTCCCTTTAAGGGTGGTGAAGTGCAGGACATGTGGAGAGATCAGCCTTGTCACTCTGTGTGTGCTCTGCACGTTCATTTTTGAGAGGTGAATTGTTTTTTAGCCAATGCATGCATCAGCGTGCAGCTGCAGCAGATTTATAGAGCTGTGGTCATCTGAAGGTGTATGATGTGTACTCTTCCATCTGAGGGTGTGTCGTTCTGCCTCTCTGCAGCAGCCAAGAGTCTCCTCAACAAGAAGGCTGATGTCAAGGTAAGCTAGCTTCTTTACCTCCCCTCCCGGCTCTTTTATTTTCATGTGTCTCCTCTGTTTATCCTTGGCTGCCCTTCCACTGGTCGGACATCCTCCGCCTTCAGAACTACTTTCATTATTCCATAAATACTTCAGTCAAAGGCGGATGTAATAGAAGTGATTTGACTTTGTCAGGTGCTGTAGCATTGCCTTTTAAATTTTCAAGGGGTTTTATAGCGTTAAAGTCACAGTGTAGTGTGTCATTTCCTGTCCTTCACTTTTCTGTAGTTCTTTCATGCTTTGCCTCGGAGATGCATCAGTACTTCTGTCTGGATCCCAGAGTAGTGGCTCCTTCTATAAACCAGACTAATATAGAGTATGATCATGTAGAAAACACAAGCTAGCACACACTACACTAGTATGTGCTTATTAAATTATTTAGCAGGATTTTATAAAGCCAGTAGAGAACATTACCAAGGCCATCATATGTTAAAACACAGCCAGTAGAGAACATTACCAAGGCCATCCTCATTATAAACATATATTAAAACACGCAGTCAACAGGAATACGAGGATACGCCACAAAACTTCTTTCACTTCCACCTCAATGGGACAGATGTGACACTGAGCTGTCTCACTTTTATTCTCCTCTGATTTGAGGGGCAGTGTTTCCCTTTCTCCACTCTGAGGCACCTCCGCTGGCACCGAGCATCACTCCACTGCAGACATGGCTCACCCTACACATTCCTCTGTGCCAAAGGAAAGCAAACACCGTTTCATTTCCTGAAGAGTAGATGCTGAATCTGTGTGACTGACATTATCGGTGCAGCTCTGTTAGCTTCCTTCTCCTCTTCACAGTGTGTTGCACAGTCACAAATGCATGTCCATGTGTTTGTACATGCTGTGCTATGCATGTGTGCCGGCATGAAGCGGCGTGAGGCCTCTGTGTGAACCTGAATGAGCACTTCAGTGTGCGCTGGCAGGTCAGATGTTTGGTACAGATCTTTTTACAGAGCTCTCAAAGTCCCAAAGGATCATATTTGTTTTTTGTATGCAGACAATATGATCCTCACAAAATAACAACTTGCATGGACCCTGTTTGCACAAGATGCATATCTTATTCGTGCTAAGATAATGATTTGTGTAAAAAGGTTATGGATTCTGTTCTTACAAAATAAAAGTTTGAACTGGCAGAACACAAATTTCACAAGACAACAAAAGATGCATCACTAACACTATAAGTTTATCCACGTTTGTCCAAGCTCACATCTTGTTGTTACCAGACCTCTGTCTTGTTCTCGCTCTATAATAACTTGATGTGGACGTTGTTCACACATATCAACAACATGTGGATCTGACTTGCACAAGATAATTGTTTTATGCACACGTGTTTTATGGTTTTGTTTAAAGATATGGATCTAGTTCCCCTAAGAAAGTGTTTTGAATGCATAACACATTGATCTTGTTCATGCCAGATAAAACCTCCTGTGCACCAGATATGGTTCTTTTTAAACTTGATAACCACGAGGTGAAGCATTATCTGGGACTTTTGGGGCTCACGTGTGAGAGGGAAGCATCTGATGGCTGCCGCTCTTCTCCTCAGCCTCTCTCGACCTGGTTCTCTACGACAAACTGTCCTTCATTAACCTGCATCTCCTCTTCCTCCCTTTCTTTGTCTGCACACCGCCCCTCCCCTCCCTCATTGGGCGGCCTGCTGCTAATCTGAAATGATGTCCCACCAGATGCTGAATCTGTCATTACATAATCACAGCTTCTCCTTTGCTGCCACAATGCACTAAACCATGGAGCTGTTTCAGCATCCCTGCATTAGCACAGGCCTTGTCTCTCCTGCTTCCCTCGTTGTGTTGCACTCACGTCTCAGTTTCCAGCAGTTTCCTCTGAATGTGCTCTTTTTTCTGTCTGAGGAATGAAGAAAGTTCAGATCAGTTGTTATGTTGTTATGTAATGGTTGCTCACTACTGGAGGGGAAGGCTGAGGACTCCTGGCTCTCTCATTGAAGTCAGGACTAGAGATGAACTGGTTCCTTGAGCTTTTATATCCAAGCTAAAATCTTATTTTTAGCTGCTTGCTCTGCACTGGCTGCCAGCAGCTGTGTGCTAACAAGTGACTTTATTAAAGCAGAATATGAACAAAACATCCAGGACAGGTATGAAAACAGAATCTCATGACTGTAACCGGTTTACAGTAGCCACTGGGGAGTGCGCTAAATAAAACCATGCAAATTAGGTTCTTTACAGACACAAGTCAAGCAACACCCAGTAACTGGATGTAAAAAATAATGCGCACAGAGCTACAGAGAGAAGGAGGTAGTGATGTGGCAACAGGCAAATGAAAATGTCAGAATCATCCACAAGCTTCCTTCATGTTTGACTGTAGTGGGTCTGTTTTACAAGCAGCACATTTTCTGTTCTGGTCCAGTGTCATCGCGTTTATCAGCTTCATTTCCAGCTAGTTCTGCTCCGACAAACCCACTGCACAGACACAGCGGGTGAACAGACAGCGGCCACACAGCCAGATGTTTTCCCAGGAGCTGCTGGACACCAGTTACAACTGGAGTTACATTTGTTCTGTGGCCAGAAACGCGCTGGTTGACTTACAGAGCCGTGTGCTTCAGATAGAGTCTTGGATGTCCAACGCTCAGCAAAGCACTTGCCTACATTTCCTGCTAAATTAAACATCATCATTCATTTCCATAGAGTTCCTCTTAGAACCGCTGCAAAAGTGTTTTAGTCATTTGTGCACCTGTTACAAGAAAGATAATTTATTTAGTAGGGATCTAAATCACCTGCCTCCTCCCAGCAGAAACCTGAGCTGAACACTCAGATGGTGCAGCACGCTGCTCCATCTGTGTGGTTGGTGTCTCGGAGAGCTACTGTCCTCGTGTCCAACAGGGAGGAGAAACGTCTCAGCCTCTGGGCCCTGGTTCAGCTAACGTCTCCCTCCATCACTGGCTCCTACTTCACCTTAACCACAGACTCACTGAAGGATTGTGCCTCAGTTTTGAGGTTGAGAATCGGCGCTATAAACAGGAAGTTTAGTTAAATCAGAGCCTCCTTTGTTGCTATGAATGAATTTACCGCCACAGTGTAAGGGTCATCTAAACTAATGCTGGTTCGTTTGTCGACCCTTCCCACACAGGGCGGCAGCACTGCAGGAGAGCAGCTGCGAGTCAGAACATAGGGACACCACAGAAGAAGACTGGTGGCTTTTAAATGTGACTTCACAGATGGATTATTGTTTATCCCTCTGGCTGCACTGTCACCAGAATCAGCATCACATCAAATACCTCCAGTGGGGAAATCTAGTACTTTAAAATCACTGGCTGAGTTTTGCCTTTTGATTCTTGGTGACACCACTGGGCGACGATTTGTCCAGTAGAGCAGCGGTGAAAGACTGAACGACCGTGATCAGATTATGTGGAGTAACCACATAAGTCTGGAGCAGAGTCAGTAAAAAAAAGTGTGCAAATGTTCAACAAGAGCATCAAATCCCTCCAAGATGACACCGTGGCCTCAAATGCAGAGAGAGGCTTTGTTTAACAGGCCTAACTGTTTTACCAAGAACTGTCTCTCTGTTATGATCTGCTCTGCTGTTTCCTTCAGCCTTATCTACATTTCCACGATAAGAGCCATGTCACACTCGCCACGCTGCTGCTTTCTCAAACAGAAAGACTGTGTTTACTTTCACTAATTATTCCCTGTTGCTTCTGTTTCCATTGCTGCCAAGTTACCATCAACGAACCCACACTTCCTATACTGGTTTTCACATTAAAAGCCTTCCATTGGCTCACACTAATGAGCATGAGCTTCTTGATGTGAAACCTTTGGTGCTTTATTGTCTGCAGCTTTTATGGCTCTGAAAAACAGCAGGTTAGAAGTGGCTGGAATAAAAGTGTGACAGAAATGGAGACAGAGCAGCAGTGGATGTGACATGTTTATGTTTATGTAAAATGTAAGCAGCTCCAAACTATTTGTTTATGTCACAAGCAGAAATCACAATCATTTGCTGCTTCTGGCTTCTCGGATGCAGCTTTTCTCTGATTTATAGCACTGTGTGCTGCAGATCTTTGGGTTTTGGACTCTTTGTCTGACAAAACAAGCAATTTAATGACACCAGGTCAGGCTCTGGGAAACTGTGGCAGCTGCTTTTCAGCACTGTCTGACATTTTATATAAGCAGTAACTGGAAACAAAGACCAGCAGATTATTGGTCAAATCATTATTTGGGGGCTAAAACATACCCAACAGGACTGTTCATGTAAAACAGTAGGGTCAGCTTAGTAGTTTTTATATATTTAAAGTCAGAGGATAGTTTGTTATGCATACTGGTCGTCTGCACTGACAATAGCTATTTGGGTTTTGTATGACCCTCTGTTCCTCTAGGACTGAAGTCACCCAGACCTACTCAGTACAGTGCAAATGGGTGGTTCCATCTGTAAGCCCACGTCTCTCGCCCACTCCTTTTTATAATGGCCAGAATTTTGTTTTATTTCTGTCCAGCACAGTTATCAATTACAGGCAACCCCGCTGAGGGAGCGAGGAGCAGGAAACAGAGAGTAAATTAAGCAGCTGCGTTGTGCCTGCATTTGTGTGTTTGTGCAAAGGAGCTGTTGGCCACATCTGTGTGAGTGCTTATAGACCAGGGTGTCTGTATGTTTAGCTTGCTGTTGGCTGTGTATACCGTGTGTGTGGCCTGTTCAGCCTTTCATAAGCGCTCTCTCCGTCTTCCTCTGCTGAAACGAGGCAGTTGACTGTTGTTTACACTGAGAGATGTTGTCTGTTGGAGGAGCATGTGACAAAATGGATGTGATGCTTGTTTCTGTATATCTGACAGATGTGGCAGAGGTGCACAGCTATCACTGGTGTTTGGCAAACAGCATCCGTTGGTTGGTTTCACCTCAGATAGAAACGAACTGACAGGATGAGGCGTTTAAAACCATCCAGCTGTAGTCAGAAATGTGCGGCCGCTCTCAGACTCTGGATGACAGGACTCTGTTCTCTCTATCTATTGTTTTCATCTCTGGAGCACGCTGCTATTTTTACTTGTATTACACAGTTTTTTTTACCAGGGTAACCACCCACTCTACAACCAGCAGATGGCACCTCTCACCATTGTTGCTGAGCACTAATACAGCACTTTGTGTTTCCTGCACAGCCTCAGACAAACAGCACGAGAAACAGCATAGTCACCAGTCCCAAAGGCAACGTCCCCTCTGCAGCGCTGGTATGCAGCTCTGTGTCCGTCCGTCCGTCTGTCAGAAACACTCTCAAAATGCAGTTTCTGTATGTGTGTGTGTGTGTGTGTGTGTGTGTGTGTGAAAGAGAGGGCGACAGGAGTGTGTGTGTTTGGACAATGGATCACAGTAACTTGCTGCTAAGACTCAGACGTTTTAAATTGCATCTTTAAAAGGAATCGTCTGACAATTTGGGAAGTGGACTTATTCCTTTCTTACCAAGAGTTAAAGGATCAGTTCACAGTTTTGTGTCTGTCGGGTTCAGCTTGTTCTCATCTTTCCTTCTGATCATAACGGATATTAAACATTCTCTTACTAATTCACTTCCAATGTAGCTAATCAAAGACAAAATTTACAGTGCTGATCTTAATGTTAGGCTTCAAATCTCCATCTTAGATAAATGTAGTAAGTTAGTTTTAAAGTGTAAAATCCCCCCTTTGTGTTAATCGCTGTATTTCTGTTGTAGAGCAAAACTTAACCCAGTTAACAACAGAAAACATGTTATGTGAATATTAGGACAAACAGCTGGTGGCGCTAACGTTCCAGTCAGGTTACAGAGGAAGAGGGCACAGTTGTACCTCACATCATCCAAGTATAATGATCTATAGTTCAAGATTTTCTCAAATTTCCAGCTTTTCCACTTGAAAATGTGCATAAAACAGGAGGCTGGAAACGCAGCAGCCGAGTCTTCGCTGTGTGTAGATTCAGTGAATGGGATGTAAAGTGTTCTGAGCTTTCGAGGTAGATTTGATCTGAGCCAGGTTGTTTACACTGTGCTCGGCAACCATCACCGTCACCAGACGCCAGACGTAACATAAATACATGAGAGTGGTGTCAGTCTTCTTGGAAAATCAAATAAGTGCATTTCCCAAAATGTTGAATTAAGCCTCCTCAGATGTGTTTAAATTTACAGCGAACACACAGGTTTAATAATATGCATGTTGCACAGTTCAGCATGCAGCTGTATGAGTGTTGCTTCACACTTTACTACAGTATTAAATGACATGAGATTACTCATTAGCAGCGGCGGCCTTTGCAGTCTTCCGCTACCATTAACTCCAAACCAATCAGGACGTCTTCTCCTCAGGATGAGAATATTTCACTGATTTCTTCCTGTTTTCATATATTACTCGCATCCTGCTCTCAGCTGATGTTATGTCTCTCAAACTCTCACGTCGACATCGTTAAACATTCCCTCTTTACTGCTTCTCTTCATCTCCATTCGTGCCTCCACTCATCTCTCTCTCTCCACTCTTCCTCCAGGAGCCTCAGACTACTGTTATCCATAACCCAGTAGATGGGATCAAGGTACATCCTCCTCCTCTCCCTCATTCGGTTTTGTGTTTCACTTGTCATCCTCGTCCTCAGCTTGTTTCTCGACCTGTGTGCTGGATTTTTTCCTTTTGCAGGATGTGTGCATTTTGTTGAATGTATCTGTTTGTATATTTATGTATGAGAGATGGAGGGAGAGTGAGATCGGCGGTGACTCTGTGAGGTGTTGGCTTGTCTTACACTGCCCCTGTGTGTCCAGACAAGTGGAGCTCAGTGGTCTGCACTGACACCGCTCAGCCCACAGTGCACTGCTGAGTCACATGCACACGTTGTCATTTGTATTTTTTGTAAAACTGTGGTGTGAAGATATAGTCATGGAGTAGATATATGATGACAGAGACTGTGTGTGTATGTGTGTCAGAGCTTATTGATGTACACATGCCTGAATGTGTTTTCTGTTTGTTGGTAATCAGTATTTTTGTCTGTGCACTTTGTAGGAATCATCTGACAGCAGCAACACCACCATCGAGGATGAAGATGTGAAAGGTAGGTCGCACACTGTGTGGTGGAAAGAAACAAAGTCCGTTTGCTCGCTGCTGTAGTTAAAGGAAAAGTTTGACACTGTGGAGATGCACATATTTGCTTTCACGCCGAGGGTTAAATGAGAAGTTTGATGCCACTCTCGTGTTCCTGAAGTAGCAGCCAGCAGAAACTCTGGTACATAACCCACAGCTCCAGTTTGTAATCTTTACTCTCTGGTTTTTCATTCAGACATGAAAAAAGCTTTTGCACAGTGGGCGTTAGAGACTTTGAACAGAGCTGGGCTAGCTGTTTCCAGTCTTTATGCTAAGCTAAGATAAGCAGCTACTGGATTTATGGACAGAAATGATTTTATTCATTTCAGATGTAACGTAGCGTGAAGGGTCTGAATACTTTCTGAAGATACTGTAGCTGAAGTGAGGTGGTGTGTGCAAATCGAGGCACAAAGGAAAGTAAACAACAAAAACCAAGAGAGAGAGAGAGAGGAGGAGGGAGGGAGGGAGACAGAGTGAGCTACACTTTCCTTTCAGTGTCAGGAGGAAGCGAGGGGAGGAGGACAGTAAAGCTCGTCTAAAGAGCTGGGACGAGAATAGTGGAGCTGGAGCAGCCTCACATGCTCACAGCAGTGATGGATGATGGGTGGAGGCAGACACGGCGGGTAGACGGAGCTGGAAGTGGCACGTTATTTTTGACAGTGTAGGAGGATTGTAACGAGGATTATTTGAAGGGAACAACACAACTTCTCGCATGGAAGTAGTTTTTTTTATGTGCAGTGGCATAGAGGAGGTTTTAAAAAGAGATGACTAACAATGAGTAACAAGCTCTCAGGTGAGTCTGAACTGAGCTGCATCCACCCTCGGTGCGTCCGCTAATGTCTGTCAGAGAGTTGCTGTTATTACGCCCACTGATGGAATCCACTCACATCGTTCTCACTGTGCATTTGTTTCTTCTGTGCAGCTCGCAAACAGGAGATCATAAAGATCACAGAGCAGCTCATCGAAGCTGTCAACAATGGAGACTTTGAGGCCTACGCGTGAGTCCACCTCTCCTTCTGTCTTGTTCCATGTAAATCTCCAAACAGGAGTTTCACCAGCTGGAGGAAAATGTGATTTTAAAGGTCTCCGTCAGCCGTAAAGAACCATTAATCTGACCGACATACGTGTGTTTTGTCTGCGTATTAAAAGGTTAAAGAGTAATTAGAGCCGCTGTTTCATCCTCTCACTCTATCAACCACACAAATTGGAATAATGCTCGGCAGATTGAGTGGGGGGTGGGGGTCACAGTGAGGGAAGGTCATTTCCACAAAGAAAAGGAGAACAGAGATGGAGCATTCTGCATGATGAAAATACAAACACTCATAGTTAGCCAAAAATATACAGATGTTCATCAGAGTCAAAATCTCCACCACTAAATAAGTTCTAGTTGTGACACAGTAAGTCATTGTGATAACAGATAAGAGAAAGTTTGGGGAGTACGCAGTGAAAATGTGTTGCTGCTAGTTATGATTTAGAGTTACTGTGTCGCAATGATGAGAAATCAATTCAAAATATTTAGATAAAAATGAGTTTCTATGCATAAGTAACATCATTATGATTTACTGATTAACACTACACGGTCAAAATGATCAGACACATCAACTGTGAGCCAAACGTTTCAGGTAGTTTCTCCATGCATGAGGTCAAATTTAACAGGCAGAGAGTCAGAGTTTGGAGTCACCGAGTCACAGTACTGACACAGTTATGACACTAAGTCAAATGTGTGAGATGTGAAGACACAGAAACAAAATCTGGACTTACTAAGTCACAGTCATTAAGCCAAAACTAAAAGACAATGATTCAAAACGTAACAGTACTGAGTCACAGTGATCAAACATTGTCTTACTGGTTGTGTGACTGTTAAAATCTGGACTAAGCTGAAATGATGAGCGATGAAGTGACAAACGAGTCAGAATCTCTTGAGTGACTAAGTGAAATGTACAAATCAAAACCGTAAGGACGTCGAAGCTGAGATGGTCAAAATATTTTCCTATGAAGTCACAGGGAGGAGGTGCTGAGTGACCTACTGTGAGTATTTTACTTTCATCACATGTTTCTGGGTGGAAATGTGCATCCTCAAACGTCACACTTTCTACATCTTCTTCTGTTTTTCTGCATTATTGTTACATTTACCTCTTTTAAATCACCCTATCTACGAATGTCCCAACTTCAACCTGCATGTTTTTACAGGAAGATCTGTGACCCTGGTCTGACCTCGTTTGAGCCCGAGGGGCTGGGTAACCTGGTGGAGGGAATGGACTTCCACAGATTTTACTTTGACAATCGTAAGATGAGTAAAGTGTCATTTCTGTTTTTATGCACCTTTATGGTGCCGCTGGGAGATGTAAATGCTTCCTTTCTGTCCTGTCAGTCCTCTCCAAGAACAGCAAGCCCATCCACACCACCATCCTCAACCCTCACGTGCACATGATCGGAGAAGACGCCGCCTGCATCGCCTACATCCGCCTGACTCAGTTCGTGGACGGGCAGGGCCGTCCTCGCTCCAGCCAGTCAGAGGAGACCAGGGTATGGCACCGCAGGGACAGCCGGTGGCAGAACGTGCACTTCCACTGCTCAGGAGCTCCTGCTGCCCCACTGCAGGGATGAGGTACCTGAAGCACTTATTTCTAGGTTCAGTGACGCTTTGCAAGGATGTTGTTCGTCTCAAGTAAACATCTGTAAACTCTCGTAGAACGTGAGACCAGAATCATCACGTTTTTAGGTTTTCCCCAGTATCAGAGTGATTCACAGACAGTGGAACTGCTGCTGATTGTGAAATCGGCGTAGTTAATGTTCCAAAACTGAACCCAGTCAGCTACGTGTTGATGTAGGTATCTACAACAGATATATACATGTGAATTAACATCTCCAAAACCTTTGTCAGGCAGCCAGAGTTGACGAGAGAGGGCAGTAGAGGGTGTATCAGCTCCAACAGAGGAAACTCTCTGTGTGTCCCCAGTGAGTCTCCCACGCCTCCTTTAGTTTAAACCTCTGGAACACACCAAAGCTTGTGTAGGTGGAAACCGCCTGCATGGTACAGAGAGTAGCTCAAATTAGAACAAATGTGTAGGTGGAAACCGCCTGCATGGTAGCTCAAATTAGAACAACGCAGCCAAATGAATTTCTGCACCGCATATTAAGGAAAATTAACATTTTTTTAAATAATGAAACTATTAGGATGACAAAACAGATTAAAAACATAGGCTGTGTCCCCACTGCTCCTGTAAAACTATATGGAGCAATGCTGAAAAACAACTGGACCTATTTGTTGACACTCGGTGTGTAGTTTTGTGCGTTTGGGATCGCACTGTGCTCCAGGGGGGATTTACAGTGTATTCGTCTGATGCCAAACAAATAAAAAAGCTAATTCAGAGACAGTAACAGTCTGTAGTGAGATGCTACCTGGTGTTACAGGTTGCTGTTCTGCTGGAGCTGGTCCTGAGATGTGGGCCAGGAGTTTTGGTTGCATTAGTGCATTTGGATGTGAGATTCCAGATGTGTGTTGCTGACAACACAGGAGAAAGAAAGACACATTTAGTGAGGTCAGGGCTCAGATGACGTGTCTGCTCTCACTATAGAAACACCACAGCCCTGAAGGACGTGAGCTAACATTGGCCTCTTTTCTTCTGCAGGTATGTGAGGCTGAAGAGGAGGCAGAGAGGAGCAGAAAGCGGATGAGTGGATAATCTGAGAGCGAGAGTCAGGTCGGAGAGAGAGGCGCGGGTGGACAGAGGGAGCCTTCAAGGAGTCTGAAGAGTGGTGCTCGTCCTCCTGCGCTCCGCACGCCCACCTCGCTCTTCTCTCTCTGTCTGTCTACAAACTCAGCAACAGACACCGACGCTCCCGTCAGTGCAGCAGAGGGCGGATCGGAACAGAAACTCTCAGCCTGCGTCTTGTCTTCAGTCGGCCTGTGTGTGGCTGCAGTGTGGCACCCTCCTGTTGAACGTTCCCCCTTTTACTTCTCCAACATAGCGTTATTGTTCCTTACTTCTAGTATAACTATGGCTGCAGTCTATCATTGTGCTCTGACATCTGTACAGTGTATTGATTAGTCATTTGAAACCTTTCTTCTGCTTCTTTTATATGATGAGCACAGTGGCTGTTCTTCTGCACGACTCCGGCTGCCTGTGTGAACTGAGCAGTGCGTCTCACAGAGAGAGAGAGCGGTGGGCGTTTTAATGATCCCTTCTGTTTTGTTATTCAGTGGAGGTTTTCTCCTCGTTCTCCGGAGTGTAGTGACCTCACCCCCGCCCCTCTGAGCCGCTCTCTGTGAGACCATGCAGCATGCTAAGGTATTACCGTTGTTCCTAATCGATTCTCTGTGCTCTGAACTTTGCAAGTTAACTACTGAAATTATGACAAAGGTCGAGATTAGTATATATCCCGCTGTTTATGTAAATTTACAGTTTCATCGTGGTGACTTAACTACAGTTATGCTGTAGATGGTATTTAATTGCATGAGGTCTCAAGTTAATACATTGATAACTGGGTGTGATTGTGTTTTTTTGTCTTGGACTGAACTGCTAGTGAGCTGTGATCTATTGCCTCTGTCTCCTGGGCTTTGTTAAGTGCATCAGCTATTTTTGTGTTCATATAAAAGTGTGGGGCTATGAGGAGGAGACTGGTGGGGCTCATGACAGAATTGACCTTTTTTAAAGAAACTGTTGTTCCAGATTAGATTTTAAAACAGCTCTTTACTGTAGTAAAGACAAAACCCCAATCAAAGATCAATCAGTTTCATCATTTAGAACCAAAACAGAGCTAATGGTAGTTTGGATTATTCTTCCTCAGTCCAGGTGGATGGAGAGATGACGAGTGAAGAACAGTAACAGAATGCTGCTCTTTTTTATTTTACCTATACTGATGATGATGATGCCTCTGGTGTGCAAGTCTTATCAATATTAGAAATGTGATCAGATGTAATCAGTGTGTGAACCAATAAACTGACAATGCAGAGAGCATATTAAACTCCTATCTCTTATCTCAGCTCACAGAGGAACAGACTGAGTCTTATTTGTTTTTGTGCTTTAATCTGAGCAACAGCTTCACTAGTTCTTTACTGTCACTAATAATGTAGTCAGGCTGAAGTATTTACTAACCTGGGTGAAGAGACAACAGCTGGACCAGCTCAGGGACAGTTGGAGGGGTCAGAGATGTCCCTTTTTACTTTGACTTAAGTTATATTTAAGAAGGAACTAACTTTTCTCCACTTGACAGCTACTGTATGTCCAGTACCAGATGCACTGCAGTAAATGTCAACCTTTGTCCGAAGCTGATTATGTAAAGGCCAAGTTAATCAACACCTCATCTAGACCGTGTGAAAAGTGATTCCTGTCCAGTGGTGGAAGAAGTACTCTGATCCTTTAGTAAAGTCTCAGTCATCGTCCCCTTAACTCACCCTTCTTCCATGAATTAATAAGAAGTACTCTGATCCTTTAGTAAAGCCTTCTTCCATTAATTAGTATTTGGTTATTGTGAGATATTTAGATTACAGCCAATGAAGAGACACTTGAGTCAATATGTGCATTGTTTGCTCACATGCATGAAAAGTGTGACGTTAAAGCCAGTGTCCCACTTTACTAACAGCTCAAACAGAACATTTCCACAGAGGATGGTGAACTTGTTTAAGAATTATTTGTACAACCTGATTAAACTGTAGGCATGTTGATGAGGAACTGTTTAAATGAAAACACATGACTGTATTTGGACAAACTGGACTGTTTTACTTTTTCACTCCATGTTTTATAGATTTGTTTAAATTAATATCTTTAAATAAAAAGCAAGGCAAAGCATCATTTTATGAATAAAATGAAGTAATATTTAGCACCTTTTCCACAGAAAATATTTAATCCTGATACGTATACATTGTTTGTTTGTTTGTCATAATTCTTCAGCACTAATGTACAAAATAAGTTCGCCCAAAATAAAAGTTTCACTTTGGAAAAGACGTAGCTTTGTGAAATCTTCCTATTAAAATGATCAAATTCATAATGTAACACATATTTATTATCACGTCCAACTCTCGTGATAATGTCACATCTTCTGACCACAGCTTGTTCAGTTTTGTTTATTTTGTTGGTGCGCTGACGTCACCGCGGCGTGTCCATGACGCAGGACGCACATCAGCACTAGACTGATTAGACGGTGCCAGAGCGCGCGACTCGCTCAGCCCCCCAGCTGGATCCGGTGCACGCGCACAGCATCCCGGGCACAACGCTGAGCTCGGTCCTCATAACACGGGAGGCAGCTGAGAACAGCAGCCGGTCTGCGCAAAAGGTGAGTGGGAAGACAGAAAGTTAGCGGAGGGAGGAGGAGGAGCTCCACCTCACCTGGGTAAATACGGCGTGGGAGTCCCGCACGGGACAAGGCGCTTCTTACAAAACCTTTCGTGCGCTTGAGCAGCTTGTGCGTCGGGGGACGTGAACTCCTGAAGTTGTGTGCGCACAGATGAGCCCGTGATAGTGGGAACCAACAGGTGCAAACGGCCGGAACTGGTTTTAAGGTCAAAAGTCAGGCTAGAGGTTGGGTTAGGGTTTATTAGACATAAAGTGGCTGCAGCACGGACGGATCGTGAGACAGGGGGCCCTGGGGCACAGTCATACAAGGGGACCCCCAAGGGAGAACATGCAGAGAAGGCCCCGGGTCGTCCGGGGGCTCGAACCCGGAACCTTCTTGATATATGGCGACAGGGCAAACCCAGGCTCAGTAATGCAGTCTCTTACAGAATATCTCTCATTAATCATCTTTTCAGCAGTTTTTAAGAAAACAGAATTTCCTCCAGTAACCTACGACACTGCAAACCACTGCAGCACTGGTTATTAGATGTTAAAACATTTTGTGTGTCACCACCTGATACCGTGGGCTCATGGACCTCTGGGTTGGTTCATTTAGTTATCTATCCCTGAGTTAATGTTTTTAAGGTTAGTCTCCAGGGAGTTAACATAAATAAATGAATGTCCCTTTAAGTGATGGAAACAACTGTGTGTGTGCGTCGAGGAGGTTGTGTTCGGTTTGGGTTGTGCTGTGCCCAGATTTTATGGTTATGATGGGGACACTCCCCGCTGGTGGTCAGGGTGTATGGTACCTACTGTACTGTACTGAGAACTAAGATAAAGATAAAGCACTGAGGATGTAAGTTCTCATCCTTCATGGATAAGCAAGGTGATATTCTCAAGTTTCCTTTGTCACCAAATCCCACGAGAAGACCAAAACCAAACCAGTGATGAGCATTCCTCATGTTTGCCCTCAGGGACCCGGGGGCCAGTCAGCAGGAGCTGTGGAGGAGCCAGCCTCACCGGTTCATCCAGGCAGGAGAAGTCACAGGGCCAGTGGCTGAGCATCCTGGAGGGCCTCCTTGTCCAGGACAGTGCTGCTGAATTCTTCCTCCAGGAAGGGGAAGAGGAGCTGTGGCTGATCTGCAGCCATGCACCACTTAAGGACTACAGTTGCAAGGCTTTGGCCTTTAATGGCTGCACAGAGCCTGTCACGGCCCAGGCTGCTGGCGCTCGAAGGGGGCGTAAGGACGTTTCAATGCACGAGGCACCTGAAAGCATCTGTGGCAGCTGAGCCCCTTCTCAATGGCACCAGCTCGAACTACATGGAGGAGATGTACTACACATGGCTGGAGAATCCCAGGAATGTGCACGAGGTACTTACGCCCTCATGTTTGTCTGTGTTACTTACAAATTTGCCTTCAGGGACAGCGAGTACCCTCTCACCTTCTTCATGAAGGGTCTAGAACATTTAGTGGGGTAAAGGTTCTACAAATACACAACTATCGTCACTCTGCATGTTTGAATAGCAGAACACCAGAGCAGGACGTAGAGTAAGAAGTGAATTCAGGGTTTCACCTATAATCAGCCACAGTCAGGGGATTACTGACGTGATAAATGACCTCATTCTTGTCTCGAGACATTAAACGGCTCTTCTGACTTGATTAGGGCCAGCATTAAAACTAAGTCTTCCAAATGACTAGAAAGGCAGAGTAGGAGCTGCCCAGCGTATCTAGAGCTTTACACTTCGTCAGCACATCACTCAGTGGCTAAACATAGGTGCTCACACTGCAGACGTGTTATTAAAAGTTTCAAATACACATTGGATGCAAAAGATGGAAGGTTTGGTGGTGATGTTGATGCCAAAGTGGACACACTAATACGACTGTCTGTCTTTCGTATGGTTTTATGACTTTTAACAGCTGACACTGGTGCTGATTTTGTGTGTATATACAAACGTAAGCTTCCTTCATTACGTTCAAACAGCTAAACAGATTTATAATGACTTTCACAGTCTCTGGCGACTCGTTCCTCTAGGGCAGAGGTCACTGAGCGTGCTCATCAAGAGTTTGTATTATAAACAATGCTCGTTCTTTCTTTGCCTTTTCAACCTGTATGAAGTTTCTGTACCTGGCTGTGGTCGGATCCAGACGACCCAGTTGTCCACAGTTCTGCTTAGCGTCCCGTGTTCTGCTCTGTGTTTATTTTGTCCACCCTGAACACTCTGGGCTTCAGGCGTGCTGTGGTGGTGTATGATGCGCTGAAGTTCGTCCCCATCCTGCAGCTGCTGCAGTTAAATGCCTCATTTACTGCAGCACCTACATTTTGCCTCTGTTGGCATTTCTGAGCGCTGACTGCAGCTGCACCACCGCACTCCTGTGTCAGTGCCTGCCTCTCAGTCAATGGGGTAACGTCAGCGTCTGCTGCTCAGTCTCCCTCTGCTGATGCTGGTGACTTGTGTCGGTTCGTGTGTTTATGTCAATGAGGTCACAGCAGCAGAAACTCCACAGTGATCACACAGGTGAATCAACACTGTGAAACTGTCTGAACTGAACATGATCACCTTCATGAAGTACTGACTCAGTCTGAGTCAGGTGTTCCTAATAAACTGACAAGTGAGGGTATATTCATTCTTGTTGTATTGAGACTGTCTCAGATATTTTTTGAACTGCTTTGGTCCAAATCCTCAAAGTAAAGAAGCTAAAATCATCAGATATTTGTCATTTTTGCTTTAAAAAACTGCACAGATATAATTCGATTATAAGCCGTGTAGCAGATTAATCTTCTGTCGACTGATTTGTCGATTTTCTGCAGCTTTACTTTGGTTTAAAGTAAGGGAGACGTTCCCACCATCCCTGGCTGTAGCGCTGATTGGAACATTTTACCACGCTAACAGGCGAAACTACAGCAGTGACCTGTTAAACATCACACCTCGTGTTTGCTGTCACTGACAAAGTGAAGCATTTTACCCTTTGTTAACATGTTGAGTGACTTGTCTCGTTTCATCTTCCCGCAGTCCTGGGATAAATTTTTCCGTAACGCTTTGCCTGGTGCAGCCTACCTGGGGACTTCTCAGGGACTGGCCGGTGTCCAGGCATTGGTGCGGGCTCAGCCCGATGTGGAGAGGCTGGTGGAGGATCATCTAGCAGTGCAGTCACTGATACGAGCATACCAGGTAAACTACACGTACACCTGTGCTCTGTGTGGCATGTAGTGACTATGTTAGAAATGTTGTACGACTGCATGACGGCCCTCTGCGATCACTACAAATACTGCCCAGTAAAATGAGAATAAACTGCAGACTGACAGTTTCATTTTCAAAAGATTAGCTCAGTAAAGATGGATGATATAATGCATTGGGCTCAGACAGGAGCTTGTTTACAACCTCTGACCCATATCTGCGTCTAGGTCTGTGCTAATGTGTGCACATACATTAGGAAATCTTGTAGCGACACAGTGCTGCTGAAATGGGCTGTTACGCACTGCGCTCTGCTGCACTGTGTGCAGGTACGAGGGCACCACATAGCCAAGCTGGACCCGCTGGACATCAGCTGTGTGGACTCTGGCAGTGCCCCGTGTACCGTTGGTTTCCAGAACGTCGGTGAGAACATACACCTGCTGTTTGCTAATGATGTCCTCTCTGTCCTTCCCTCTTCCTGTCATTCTCTGATCCTGGACCCATTTTGTCTCTGTGTACTTTGGTTTGCTTCATTTTTATTCCTGGACACACACAACTGTCCCCTCCCTCACCTTTTTCTTTCTATCTTCCGGTTTTTACACCTTGTTTAGTTTTGTTTTCATGTGACTCACCCATGAATTCCCACATGGCTGAGTGATCTCCCCTCCACCGTGGCCTCCCACCTCTTGTGTTCGTTTTCACTGGCCCGCCCTTATCCCCGTGTTGCATGGAGCATGCTGTAGGTCTGGGGTCACCACGTGGCTCAGCTGGACCCTCTGGGCATCATGGCTGCTGAACTGAAGCCCGGACCCTCTGACATCATCACCCAACCTGGACCGGGTCAGGAGAGCAGGACGCAGCGAGCGAGGACTTTTGTATACATTTCCACTTTGCTCTCATTTTGTCAGCACCTCTCCTACTACAGTTTACCAACCTGTTGTGTAGTGAATGTGCTCATAAAAAACAAATGTATAAATGAATGCAATGGTCAGAATGATAACATTGTGCATGTTACAGATTAATTTGTTCCATTTTTCACTATTTACTCTGCACCACTTTCCAGTAAGATATGCTTAAAAAATAAATGAATATTAAAAATAACTGTGAAAACAGTCAAATCTCAAGGTGCATGTTGTAGCTGTTCAGGAGCACATCACGTTTGGCTAGCTGTCATGGAGCTGTGTGTGCACAGCATGTATTCAGGAAACGCAAAGACGAGCCTGTTGTGTCTGCTGCTGTTTCCAGAGTCAGGAGTGAACAAGTCTCTCTGGCTGCTTTGTATCCTCCTCCTCTAATTTACTGTCGGTGCAGTAATTGATGATTCAGAAGGACTCCTTGACCAGCTGTATCCATATGAACTAGAATATCAGCAGAACCACCTGCAGACTTTTGTTTGCTTTTGAAGGTCCTGCACATGCGCAGGTTGTTTTCAGTAACCGTGGCTGGTGTGACCTCTGCTGTGCCCTCCTGATAGGCCAGTTATTAAACTTCATAGACAATTGTAATGGAAGAATGTTTAGTTAATGATTTACTAATGTTAATAACCACAGACTGTAACAGTAGAACTAGTACATCCTTAATAAACAGGGTTATTGACTTTCTGAGAAGCCCGCATGTTGCGTCAGAGAACTGACCTAGAGAAGGACACACAGCAGCCAAACGGGTGTTTTCCAACCTAACTGGTCCTTTTTATGTGTTAATTAACTGGTGATTGGACCCATTAGGTACAGTAAATTCTCTTTGTAAAGTTTATAGACTTGTATTAGAAATCAGTGCAGTATTGTTTTATTTGTAACTCAGTTGTGTTTGACCTGTTTATTATTTGTGAACACCTTGATTTGTGCATTAAGTCACATGTATTTTGTTGTTTTAAGACATTTCCCTGAAGAAGATTTGCTAACCCACCACTTTTTATACCTCAGTTCAAACACTGGGATGTAATTAACAAGTGTAGTTTGTAATGAGCATAATTATTATTGTCTTTATTGGTGCAGAGAGTTGGAGCAGGTTGTGAAGTGTGCACCCTGCAGCAAACCGCCATTGTGCCTGATGAGAAGGTTGAAAACAGCTGATTGTCCTGAGCTGTAGGCAGGTGTCGGGGTCCACTCAGAAGCCCTGTGCCATTCCTAAACTAGAGTGTGTGTCTGTGTGTTTCCATGTCTCCAGAGTTCTCTCGGTATAAAGAACGTGTGCGTGGCCTGGCTGCTGGAGGTAGGACGTGACCCCGAAGCCTCGCTCTTTGCTCTTGCAGCTGGATCTTATGGGATGCTTTGGCCTACATCCAGTGGTGTACTGCTCATTGATGTTAAAGCTCTAATAGGCTGCTTTCGGTCTGTGGTGTCCCTGGTCAAGTCCCTGTGCTTTATCATTAACTCTAACCCTTTTTAACTAGGTTACAGTGTTTGGGTTGTCCCTGGTGTCCTCTGTGTGGCAGCGCTGACACAATTTCTGATGATAAATCCTGCATAAATGTGAAAAAGGGACCTACAAGCTGTAATTAATGGCTCTATTAATGGGTTATACATCATTTGCTAGTGATTTGTAGATTTACAGAATAATAATAAGGTTGCCAGACTGTCCTCCTCCAGCTTGACACTTTGTCCTTTTAGCTCTAACAGGGAGACCTCTCGTGTGGACCATTTAACCACCCATTGTCCATTTCTAAACTGCTTATTAGCATGTACAGCTGCAGACTGTGGACTGCTGAATCCTTTATGGTTCATTCAGTTCTAACATCAGCGGTTCACGTTAATGCTCTGTACGTGTGTACCTCCAGCTCTTTTCTAGATAATTTGTGCTCATTCATTCAGTTCTAACATCAGCGGTTCATGTTAATGCTCTGTACGTGTGTACCTGCAGCTCTTTTCTAGATAATTTGTGCTTGAGAGTTTGGTGCCGAGGTCTTGCTGATTAATTAAACAGACAAAGTGTCATTTTCCACAATCTGGCAACCCAGAAACTGTTCATGTTAACGGACTGTAACTGTTCTCTAAAGCTGTATTGATTAGCCATTAATAAAGTCATTCATACAGCTATAGTGTAAAGACCCTTGTGTCAGAAAGTGGTGCCTGAGCTTCCAGTGAATGACCTGGTGCGTGTGCACGCTCCTGCTAACCTTTGCTCTTTAGCTGATGGGGTTAAACGGGACTTCTGCAGGCTTATCTGTGCTGGCTTCATTAAAATGGCAGCGTGATTAGATTGCAGGCAGAGACGCTGCTTGATTACTGTGTTGGAACATTCAGCCTCTTCTCCTTGAACCATCAGGGAGAACAAGTTGTGTGTCTGTACGTACGGGGTGTTCAGTCTGAAGATGCCTTACATAACACACGTGAGTGCTGACTGGTGTGTTGGAGTTCAGACCCTGTGTCCTCAGCACAGCGCCCTGCACTAATGTGCTGACAGAGATGTACAACCAGACGCAGCCCTTCCCCTTTCAGTCCTCTGCTCCATAATCTCTTAGCTGCGTTTGGTGCAACCAGGGCATCACATGCTTCGGCTAAACAGTGGCTCCGAGCGTGGACGTGATGTTTGACCAGCAAATCTAACCCATCAGTCCGTTCTTGTGTTTGCTGTTTGCTTTCTGTGGGTTCTCTGACACAACTCCCAAAGCCAATGAAAGTCAGGAAGATGACCAGTAATGATGTGGTAGCATGTTTTAGAGATTTGTGTCCCTTTTTTTGTTTTTCAAAAATCTCTTTACAAAAAAACAGAACTCATTTCCAAATCACTTAAATGTACTTTTGTCCTCCTTTAGAGCTGAAACAAATAATTGAATAGTCCGTTATTACAATAATCAATTAGCTGTCATTTTTATGGTAAAACAGTCAAACATTGGTTTGTTTGAACATGTCAGAGCTCAACTCATTAGTCTGTTTGTCAGGCAGAACCACTCAACGCAGTGTAAGGAATCCTACAGCCGCTTTCACCGACATTTCATAGGCCAATAATCAGTTACTCTGGAAACTGATGATGATCACTAGTTCCAGCCCTACCGTCTGATGCAGGTTTTAAAATATAGGTAGAAGCTTTGGGTAATACGTTATTTCACAGGTTTGTAATTTCCTAACTAATTACCAGTAATTTCCTGGAAAGAACCCTGTAATTTGGCATTCGTTATAAGAAAGAAAGAGAAGTGTCTAAATGGTGCACTGCTGGCAGCTGAACCTCTAAAAATATTTTTCTACAGTTTAGCATATGTGAAGATTAATGTTTAAGCAGTTTGTTCAGGGAAATCCCTCTGGGTGTGCGAACTGCTCATAAACTCAACCTGAACTGAATGAAACAGCAGAGCTGAGTTTGTTTTGTCTGTCATTGGTGCCAAAGTTCTTGTTGTTTCCAGGAAAGGAAAGGCCATTTCCTAATAATTTAAAAACTACAGGCCAGTAAAATAAAATAAAATCACCAGATGATCTTAGTAGTATTTAATGACACACACAGTAAGATGAATTAAAAGTTAGCATATATCATAACATCAACAAAAAGGCAAAGTCTAAAAGGAGAATTGAGGCAAATGTAATACAAGACAAAACAAAGAGCACAGGTTGAAACTGTACATGCTTCATCTCATTTATCAGGTTCTTCCAGAGCCTCAGGCTCCTGATGACAAACCATTTTCAGAATGTACTTGGTTCACTTTGATTCAGTGGCCTTGAGCAAGTTGCTCTGATGAGAAATGAATGGATATAAATAGACCAAATTCATAATGTTCCTTAAAGTAGAAAGGAGCCGATTTTAAACCCAAAGGTCATTTTGCTCGTACTGAGGAGTGTTCATCAGTCTCTGAAATCAGTCATTCACTAATAATGAAAGGTGTTTTCAAATTACGTTATGGAGAATCCAGCAGCTTTGACTCATATCACAAACACTCGGGAGTTCACATGGAAACCAGGACATGAATAAACTGATCTTTGGGTGTAAAATCATTGGATTAGTTGATCAAAAGAAAAGTTCCAGCTGTTCTTTGTCATTTGTGATAGTAAATAGGGTCTGCACTTAAACCAGGCAATGCAAGGACCTCACTGCAAGCTGTGGGAGATGGCGCTGAGCATTTTACACCACTGTTTTGACATTGTTCAGACTAATCACTTAATCAGAGTGGCCAGTAATGAAAGCTCAGCTGCAGCACTATTGCTTTAAGGCTTATCAAATAAAATGACTAGGGACTGAAGCTCCAATGCCTATAATCTGATGTGTCCCCTCCTGTCAGCAGTGACACGGGTCACCGAGTGGAATCTGCAGGCAGAGGGAGTTCAAACAGCGAGCAGATCCCCAGATATCTTGAATTTAGTGGTGCTTCCATAACCCTTCCTTTATTTTCCTATTTTCCTGATAATGGTTATGTGTCTGTATTGTTTCTGTTCCACCCTCCCAACCCCTCACTGGCCCGGTGTGCACGTCCCTGTGTTTACAACAGGTCTCTCCGGGTTGGCAGAGTCAGACTTGGACAAGGTATTTCGACTTCCCACCACCACCTTCATTGGTGGCAGCGAGAGTGCTCTGTCGCTCAGGGAGATCATCCACCGGCTCGAGGTAAAACACTTCAGAATTAAATTAGAATAAATAAATCATGTTCAGGTTAACACTGACTCAGCTAGTCATCACTGAATGATGACTCTGTCCTCTCGAGCTTTAAGGAGGATGTCGGGCTTTATGCAGAGCTGGGTGGCAGTATAAAGGTGGAAATACAACATCGAGTGAGGCTATAAAGTCAGTTCTCACACAGTCGGAGTGGGGATGTTAATGACAGCAGTTTAAATGTTGCTGCTGCTAAACATTGAATGCAGCTTCTCAGTTTAGCAGATTAGACCCAATGAACCCTCTGTTTGACCTTTCAGGCCTACACACTCACACCGACCCTGTCCCTCTCTCCTTCAGATGGCCTACTGTCAGCACATTGGAGTAGAGTTCATGTTCATCAACGACGTGGAGCAGTGCCAGTGGATCAGACAGAAGTTTGAGACTCCAGGAGTTATGCAGTTCAGCCTGGAGGAGAAGAGGACCCTGTTGGGCAGAGTGATCCGATCCACCAGGTCTGTCTGTTGGTTTGCATTCCTCAGCTCTACCCACATCAATGTCTGAGCCACAGTGTGACGCAACAGCGCCGCCACCTGTTCACAGGTTTGAGGAGTTTCTGCAGAAGAAGTGGTCATCAGAGAAACGTTTTGGTCTGGAAGGCTGTGAATCGCTCATCCCGGCCCTCAAGACCATCATTGACAAGTCCAGTCAGAGCGGAGTGGAGAGCGTGATCATGGGGATGCCTCACAGGTACACTGTTCACCCTGCACTGGAGCAGCCTGTGTCTGGACGCTTTGTCCTGACCCCTGGCTTTCTCCTTCTTCAGAGGCAGGCTGAACGTGTTGGCCAACGTGATCCGCAAGGAGCTGGACCAGATCTTCTGCCAGTTTGACTCTAAACTAGAGGCTGCAAACGAGGTTTGAACAGCACCCGCAGAGACCAGATGTTTAGGAAGGGGGGGTTTCATTATAGCTGTTTTTTTTTTGATAAATCAGTGGTGATTTTGTGTGTGAACTGTCAGAAACCAAGGTAAAATGTCATCACGGTGACATCCTAAAAAACTAGTTCTTCACTATCTTTGATTAAACAAAGACTAGAAACCTCTTATCTGATTTGATCCATAGAAAAACAAAGTGAAGGAAGTAATTCTTATTAAACTAGGTATTGTTTAAATTACTGAGCTTTATAAATGTTTTTAGATTTATTTACCTTTATCTTTGTGGAGATGAGCTCGTTCACCTGCTTGTTTGTCCGATAAGATCAATTATTGATAAATTATTTTACCCATTTCTCCTGATGATGTCCGGCACTTTGGTCAAGTTTGAAATGTGCTTATAAGTAAAACGGCTTAGAGGATGAGTTGCTGTCAAACAACTAATCTGTGAACTAATGATTTTCTTTGCCTGAACGTTCACGATTGTTTTGTTCAAAATATTCAGGTTTTATTTTTAAATACTCCTTTCTTGCCTTCTGTCCTCAGGGCTCTGGTGATGTCAGATATCACCTGGGAATGTATCACAAGAGGATGAACCGGGTCAGTAACAGGTACATCGCCATGTCACTCATGGCGAACCCGTCCCACCTGGAAGCAGTGGACCCGGTGGTGCAGGGGAAGACCAAGGCTGAGCAGTTCCACTGTGGAGACACTGAGGGCAAGAGGGTACGCTGCTCTAGCTGTGTACAAGAATATATGGAGCACCTGTGGTTGTGTAACCTGAGGGATGCTTTTCCAGGTGATGTCCATTCTGCTTCACGGCGACGCCGCATTTGCAGGTCAGGGTATCGTGTACGAGACCTTCCACCTGTCTGAGCTGCCGTCCTACACCACACACGGCACCATACACGTGGTAGTGAACAACCAGGTACGTGCTGTTCGGCTCTGACAGGCTGTTGGCATCTTGTTATGCCTAGATGTGTTTCAGCTGGTACTCGCAGTCTGACTTCAGCCAGACTGAAGTGCAGCAGGATGAACAATCAAATGTTAAGAAGTAGCATGAGCACTGCAGTTAGAGGTGTCTCACTCTGTGTTTCTCAACCCTTGGACTGTTTCTTATAATAATGTTTTACAGTTAGCACAGTCAACAGCCACGTTGCATGGTGCTAATTCTACTAAACCTGTTGATTTTGAGGCCAAAGGCTTTACCTATGTTAAACAAACTGAAAATAAAACCAGTATATGTTGTTAACTGAATGCATGCTAAATCATAATGTCCCCACTTTAGCGTGGATTGCTTTGAAAGCCCAGTCTGACACTAGAAGAGTCATTTTTTTCCATACAACCCACATGATGGACCCAGGAAGCAGCTTCAGTCCTGTGTCAGAATTACTGCAGTAACACTGCCTATGAGTCTAGTTGTTAAGTTGCATCAGATTCTTTGTTAAGAAGTGAAAAGTGAAAACATTGAAACACTTTATTTCCTTCACTGATTCTCTTGCCCACACAGATTGGCTTCACCACAGACGCCAGGATGGCTCGGTCATCTCCGTACCCTACGGATGTAGCACGGGTCGTCAACGCTCCCATCTTTCACGTCAACGCAGACGACCCAGAGGCCGTGATGTACGTGTGTGACGTAGCAGCCGAGTGGAGAAGCACTTTCCATAAAGATGTGGTTGTAGACATGGTCAGTACATAGAAGACGGTCCATGAAATCATGCATTTTATGTTTGTTGTCATTTGTCTGACTTATACTCTGGTCTAGAAGAAATGTGACTAACTGCACTTTGTCCAGTTGAAGATTATGTTGCATGTAGCCATGGGTTTGTGGTCATGAAATCTCAAGGTTATCATGGAATTTTTAACCTGGATCAAAGACAAGAAAATGAAATGGTGAAGCCCTGGATTATTATATCTTTATGAGCACCGATGCGCAGCAAAGCTCATAGATGCATGTTTGGCCGCTTGAGGGCAGCACAAGCTGTGAACACATCTTTGACGTGTTATCACTTTATATAGTTCACATAGAGAACATGTTAGCGAGCGGCTGTCTGTCTATACCTCCAGCAGATCAAGAGCAGCATGACCCTTCATGTGTCTGTGTCCCTGTTATAAACCTCAGCCCAGTGCTCCCTCTCTGTTCGCTCTGGGTTTGGTCTCCACCACCTCCTGAGGGAAACCTCTGGCTTTGGAGCTGCTAAATGCTCCACTGTGCTCCTCAGCTGGTCTCTGCTGCTGAGTAGCTAGTGGACAGTGGCGGTTTAGAGCTTTTACAGCTACTTCCTGCTATGAGTAAAAACAAAGTTGTGAGACTGAAGGAAGAAAGTAAAGTTACGCACTGGAAACCCCAAAGCGTGAGCTGAAAGAGCTCAAGCACTGTACATCTGAATTTGAAGGAGTCACCACCGAGGACGACCACATTCACATTACACTTAGTTGTTTGAGACATTGATAATATAAAATACTGAGCGGTGTGTGAGGTGCAGCTTCCTAGATGAGCTGCAGAAATTAAATACAGTGCTACAAAGGCCTGACAGGTCTCGCAAGCTGAGCATATGTGACTATGCTTCCATATGTTTCTGTCCTCAGGAAAGCATCCCTGAACTTTTGCCTCTCCACACTCAGGTGTGTTACAGACGTAACGGCCATAATGAGATGGATGAGCCCATGTTCACCCAGCCACTGATGTACAAGCGGGTCCAGAAACAGAAGAAGGTCCTGCAGAAGTTTGCTGAAAAACTGATTGCCGAGGGAGTCGTCACAGCTCAGGAGTACGAGGTAAAGCAACCAGCACACCTGTAGGTTACTGAAACAGGCACGCTGTGGCAAAAGATTTAACAGTCATTTGTGAAATCCACATCTCTCGGTTTGGATTCATTATGTTAGAAATTGGAATCTGACCTCCATGTGAGGTTTTAAACAGAGAAACTCTGTATTTTTGGCACCACAGAAAAGCCTCTGTTGCATTTACCTTGAGACCAAAAGGAAAAACCATTATTCAATTCTGAGAACTGATCAAGGAAAAAGGTTTCACTGTGACATAATGTCAGAATATGTTGATCGCTACATTTCTGAGCTAGTTGTAGTGACCGAGGAGCTTCATGATTAAGAAAGAGGAAACAAGTTAAACTAGTCTGAAGACAAGACAACACGGGTTAATCCTGTTAACAAGGAGAGTGAGGCATTAGGTCCTGTGTGGGAGACAAACGCTCCCTGTTCAGAACGAAGCCACAGCTCAACACTTTCACTGTGTAGAAGAGCTGAGGAAGTCGGTTAAATGAGTGTAATGAATGCAAAGGAGAAGTGCAGAGGTGGAAAACTGCAGAGTGCCTGCTCCCAGAGTCACACAGCAGTAAAGACAAAGACAACATGCTGCTGTTTCCTTGTGCCATCATCTTTTTAAGGAGGAGGTAGCGAGTTATGACAAAATCTGTGAGGAAGCTTACACTCGCTCCAAAGATGAGAAGATCCTTCACATCAAACACTGGCTAGACTCGCCCTGGCCTGGTAAGAGGCGTTGTTTTAACTTTTCTGTGTTTAATACATGATGATACAGTACATTGTCTGGACACTGCAGCCATGGAACTGTAAGGTCTTTGTGTCGGTAGGTTTCTTCACTGTGGAGGGTCAGCCTAAAAGTATGAGCTGCCCTCCCACTGGCATCAGCGAAGAAGAGCTCTGCCACATCGGAAACATCGCCGCCTCTGTCCCAGTGGACGACTTCACCATACACGGAGGTGCTTTCCACTCCCGTCCTGCCCGATGAAGACTCGTCAACACGCTGTCAGTTTCTCTGAAATCTTTGTTTCTGCTGTGGTTTCCTGTTTCAGGTTTGAGCCGCATCCTGAAGGGCCGAGCGAACATGGTGAGCCAGCGGATGTGCGACTGGGCTCTGGGGGAGTACATGGCCTTTGGCTCTCTGCTCAAAGAGGGGATCCATGTGCGCCTCAGTGGACAGGATGTGGAGAGGGGCACGTTCAGGTATACACCGGTTTGGCCATGTATTCAGCCTTTATGGGAGGAAGTGAGACGTGTGAAGTCACATACCAGGTTTACATTTCTCCTTGTGTGTTTTTGAGATGTGTCACAGGCTTTTTGAAAAAGTGGTGATTTACTCCTGAAGATATTCAAGTAAAAAAAACTCTTGTCAATGTTTACTCCAGCTCACCTTTGACCTTTTTATACATACTGTCAGCTTTTTATCTAGAAAGCTGCATTACTCCTCTCAGCCACAGAAAGACGAGGGTGACAAATGGCATCATTACCCTCAGCAAACAGACACGCCATCCTGCTCCTCCTGGTTTGTTCTGCAGCCTGTGTTTCTCACTCTGTATGATGTCTGTCATTTCTTTCCACAGTCATCGACACCATGTTCTGCACGACCAGAATGCTGATAAGAGGACCTGCATCCCAATGAACTACATCTCCCCTGATCAAGCTCCCTACACCGTCTGCAACAGCTCTCTGTTTGAATATGGAGTTCTAGGTGAGCACCACACAAACTCGTCTCAAGGGTTCAAATGCTTGAACCATCCACAACCAAAATCAAGTCGGCTGTAGTGCAGTGTATCTGGACATGATGAGTGGACATGAAGTAATATCTGTCCTAATGCAAAGTCTTAGTCCGTGACCTGCACCATCTGTGGAGTCACAGACTGCAGCTCCTGATCAGTAAAACCAAAACTCTTCTGGTCAACAGTTGATTTAGCTCGTGATCTGTTACATGACTGTTAATACGAAGCATCTTACATTCAGTAACGCCCTGTCTCTGTCTCCTGGCGTGTATGGAACAAATTCATCTACACTAAAATATCTGAGACAAATGAGGAACATGCAGCTGACATTTATGAGCAGGTCAGATCATGGAACAGGAAGCGCTGTGGAGTCAGTCAGCTCTAGATGAATGTGAGCGGTGAACCACGTGAATCTGCCTCTAGATGTCGGCTGAACAAACCTCACCGTGTTAAGGTTCTCCCATGGTTTAGCTTCTCCTCTTGGGCTGAATCCAGTGAACAGGGCTTTAGCCCAAATTGGACTGAAACAGCATAAACACCTGTAACCATGGCAACTGTACACCACAAAGATGGTGACAGCTAGAGTCTCAAAATGTTTTGAAGATTAAAAAAAAACATTAAAAGTGACTAAAGACATGTAAAGACATGATCTAAATCACACGAAGGCGCCAAAATTAACACTGACCAAAGCTAAAAATGAACCCACTTAACAAAAAAGACAGTCGAGCTCTGACCTGTTGAGGAGGGGTGCGTCATAAAAGTCATTTCCTGTTTCCCAAACCACGATATGAACACTGGATTCTGCCCGGTTACATATGCTGAAGAAATATAGTTGAGGGTGAACCGAGGCTAAAGTAGCAGACACAACACCGTGTGTCCTCAGAACCTGCAGACTAACCCTGGTGAAACACACAAACATATGACACGTGACCTCTGACCCGTCCATCTTAAGGCTAAACACATGTATCTTATTTTACCCCTCTCCTATAAATGTCCATAGTTAAATAAGGTCTAGACAATCTGTTGCATTAAACACAGCCCTGATGATGAAGGTCAGGGGTCACCAAAGTAATTAGGATCCATCCTAAGGGGAACATGAATATATGTACAAAATGTCATGGACATCCATCCAGGAGTTGTTCAGATATGAATGAGGAGGCTCCCACATTGAGGCGAAGGTGTGGACTGATGCCATAGGAGGAAACTAAAAGTACTGACTGTGTTTCCCAGAAAGACAGAGTCAGAACTCCAGAGGACAGAGACAGCAACGAACTGCGCTCGTTACCTTGATATGAATCTGTTCACAGTCAACAGGCTGACAGATCCGCTGAGGTGTCTCAGCACGGAGCCTTCACTACAGCAGCGAAGGACACGTGTTTCCTTCAGGAATGTTGCCCATGTCACTGAGGCTGCTCTGTTTGCACCTTCTCTTCTCTGTGCAGGTTTCGAGCTGGGCTTTGCCATGGCCAGTCCCAACGCACTGGTTCTGTGGGAGGCCCAGTTCGGAGACTTTCACAACACAGCCCAGTGCATCATCGACCAGTTCATCAGCTCTGGTCAGGCCAAATGGGTCAGGCAGAACGGCATCGTGCTGCTGCTTCCTCACGGCATGGAGGGAATGGTAGGAGCTGAGGAACCTGACCTGCCACATTCTGCTTTTACCTCTGTGCCTGCTTTGTTTCGGCACAGAGACAGATTCTCACAACCTGTCCAACCTTGGTGGTTTCTCTTTCTGTCAGGGCCCAGAGCACTCGTCTGCTCGTCCCGAAAGGTTCCTCCAGATGTGCAACGATGACCCAGATGTTCTCCCTGTGAGTCTGTGTCGGTCTGTTTTCTGGAGCTGCCAGTGAATACAAACACATTCACATACTCTCTCTGGACAGATAGAGGACAAACAACACCCCACCTTTGGCAGCTGTATTCTCATTGTTTTCTTGTCACAGTACAGAGAGGTGGTGTGGCGCAAACCTTACACGACTCTTTATTATAGTTTGTCTCATGACTGGAGTCAGTCTGCTTCAGTAACAGTAATCCAGGCGGTTCTTGTCTGCAAACATGAGGACGTCACTCACTGTAGTTTGGGCACTGATTTATCAGTTTGCATCAAAATTCATCAGGTGACACATTCATAAATCCACTTAGGATAAAAGACTCACATTAATTTCATTTTTATGTTTTCTGTCTGAACATCTGACACGTTGCAGCTGCACGAGCTGCTCACAGCTAATTCAGACATTTAACAGAACATAAACAAACATGTGCTAAACGATGTGACTCAGCTACTGTAACTCACTGAATCCAACACCAAACCCACTGTTTTCATTTTCCAGAGCATTATGGGAACTGCAGGATCCTCCCCAAAAAAGAAAAATCACAACAGAATATAACTGTTACTGTGATTTGTGTTTTCTCACTTGCTTCTAACTGTCGACTCTTGATCAGAACCTGTCGGGGGACTTCGCAGTGCGTCAGCTGTACGACTGTAACTGGATCATTGTCAACTGCTCCACTCCTGCAAACTACTTCCACGTGCTGCGCAGACAGATCCTGCTGCCCTTCAGGAAGCCTGTCAGTGACTCACACCATGAGCTGTGACTCAACACACAGCCTCATGTGTTTAAGTCCCCTAACATGTCCTGTGCTGTCTTTATATCTTAGCTCGTTGTATTTACTCCCAAGTCTCTGCTGCGCCACCCTGAGGCCAAGTCCAGCTTTGATGACATGTTGCCAGGTGAGTCCTGACAGGAACAAGTGCAACAGAGTCAATGTTTGTAATGTCATGTATCTGTTGTCTTGTCTCCCATGTGTTACTTTGTTTCAATAAAAAAAAAATTCTGTCATTTTAATCTTTGTGTTTCCTGTCCTGTAGGAACTCACTTTGAGCGTGTGATCACAGACAACGGGGCTGCAGCTCTCCACCCAGAAAACGTGAAGAGAGTCATTTTCTGCACCGGGAAGATCTTCTATGAGCTGACCCGCGAACGCAAGAACAGAGGCATGGATGACACTGTGGCTGTTGTCCGCATCGAACAGGTAGAGCCAAAGCGCAGGCAAACACAACCTCAGACGTATATGGAGTGAACTTTGTAATTCTGGCCTCTGTTGTGTGTTAGCTTTCATGGGGCCCAGTCACTGGTGGGATGTTTCGCTCTTTTTCAGCTCTCGCCATTCCCCTTCGATCTGGTGCAGGCGGAGACCAATCGCTACACAAGTGCTGATCTGGTTTGGTGCCAGGAGGAGCACAAGAACCAGGGCTACTACTACTACGTCAAGCCCCGCATCCATACCAGCGTCAGCAACAGCCGGCCCATCTGGTAAGCTCTGCTGGTGCATAGGAAGGTAACGGGACATGATCTCAGTTGGTAACTCTGCTGTGAATGTTTGTATGTTTGCTCATTTGTGCTGTAGGTACGCTGGTCGTGAGCCTGCAGCAGCTCCAGCTACTGGGAACAAACAAACGCACCTCATGGAGCTGCAGCGTTTACTGGACACCGCCTTCGATCTGGAGGCATTCGCAGGGAAACTCTAACAACCCGTCTGCAGCCTGTTCCTCTCTCCCACACCATCGGCTGCCAAGCTCCAACGTCCCCACTCAGTCGTTACATGTCCGGTTGACGGGTTTCATTTTAAACGAAATGCACAACCACTCATTTTAACACAGTTACCATGGAAACCCTGTGCTCACATTGATGAACACTGGCTAAAAACACTAAAAGAGTTTGTAAGACAGTTTTAACTTGTAATTTATTTGCTTTTATTTTGTTAAATAAAAACTAACCTGCTCTGCTTCCGC